CTCTAAAGCATACAAAAAATCCATTATTATTTCTCTCCCCCCAAAAAAGCAGATGTAGTAGACTTGGGATTGGGGGTGGGGAGAAGAACTCTAGATCTTCCAAAACAAAATGCTGCAGCAAAAAGTTCAGCAAAGGAAATAATAACAACAGCAACAACCACCACCAAATAGAAACTTCAGTGGAAAATGGGAGGGAAAATGGTTATGTTCTGCACATCATACATTAAGCAAATATACAACATGCTTTGTGTGGTTTCATTACTGGAGATTACAAAGACTTGGTTGCCCAGCATTAATCTTGCTCCATTGCAAAGATTGAACTCTGCATTCTCTACACTGAATCAAATGTAGGCTTATATATTTGCACAAGGGGGGGAAGGGGGGTACAATTCCAGATGCATATTACTTTCTCAGCTGGAGCTGATCTATCTAACCTTCTCTTTCTAGGAAAGGTAGACCAATTTATACACAAATACAAAAGGAAAAAGAAAAGAAAGAGTAACATGGCAACCTGAACAAAAGAAGATGAAAATCTCAGCAACTCATTCACCCTTAGCCTAATATGCTTAGACACTGCAGCCGAACAGAGCTTGTACCACTACCTTGCCGATGAGTGTGAACAGCGGGATAAAATGTAAGTTTTACCTCCTGAGCTCCTTTGACCAATAAAATAACCCATTCAATATTCAGAAAAGGCACCTTCAAGGAAAAAATAATAATAAAATTATAAAAACTAATTTAAAGAACAGAGAGAGAAGTTCCTACAATCACCACCAAACAATTTCAAATGGAATACTGTTTTTCGCTTTGCGGAAGGAAAATATTCACCACCAACCCTACAATTAGCTGGAAAATTACAATAATTACAGCAATTTTGCATCCCATCTCCAATCTAATTAATAGATATATGATCCTGCCAACATGTAATAATCAGAATCTGAAACTACTCTGATACTAGATGTGTTTTTATAAACTGAACAGAGATGAAATATATGAAGGTGTTTATTTGAAATATGGACAATGCCACTTGTGTGCCATGCTTCCTAAGTCAACAAAGGAAATTCAACAAAGATATTGTTCCCATATTAAAAGTAGATTTAAATCAGGTATTTCAAAGTCAACTTTCTGTAGCACTGCTAGTATGGTTTCAATTATCACTATGGTAGAGCATCCCAAAGAACAAAAGGCTGTTCTCAAAGAAAGGAATTCTTTTAAGTGGTACAACAAAACACTGCCTTTGATTTACCAGGGTAACTTGCCAAAATATTTCACATGTTTTTTCTCTAAGCATTCATGTCATGTCGTTTTTCTCTAAGTATTCATGTCATGTCGTTTTTCCAACATATGATTTTAAGCAGGCAGCCCAATTTGGAAAATAGCTAGAGAAGGTGAAGACATACACCTGTAACATTTTAAGGCAGTAATTTAGAAAAACTTTCTCCATCCTGCTACACACACAAACATTATGATTTAGTAATGGCCACAATGATTGGGGAATTCTGGGAGTTGAAGTTCGAACATAGCAGAGTATCATGGCTAAGGAAATCTAGTGCTAACATCAGGAAAAAAAAAACCAAGTTCCAGATCTTGAAGAAAAAAAATGCATGATTTCATTCAGTGTTGCAAAGAGAAGCTGCCTCCAAACATTATATCTTTACTGTGACAAAATGAAAGCAATCAAATTTAAAGTGTCAAGCACATTAAAGCAACTTTGATTTTTGTCTAAACTCCATCTATAGGCTAGAGAATGGCCTTAGCACTGACCTTGGAGAGCACATGTAGGCCTTAAAAGGCACACACAGGTTCCTTCTTATACAGGCAGTCCTTGACCCATGTTCTGACCATTGAAAGTTACAATGGCATTGAAAAAAGTGACTTATGGCTTATTTTCAAATTTATTACTATTGCAGCATCCCCATGATCATGTGATGAAAATTCAGACGCTTGACTACTGACTCATATTTATGATGGGTGATAGTGTCCCTGGGTCATGTGATCACCTCTTGACAAGCAAAGTCAACCCGGAAGCCAGATTCACTTAACAACTGTGTTACTAACTTAACTGCAGTGATTCACTTAACAGGCTTGGCAAGAAAGATCATAAAATGGGGCAAAATTTACTTAATAACAGAGAGTTTGAACTCAGTTGTGGTCATAAGTTGAGGACTACTTGTATTTAACCTAATCTTTCTTTAATTTTCCTGTTGGAGAAGGTAGTAGAGAGCATCTGTGTATATATGCACATTTAGTGCTAGAAAAGGAAGTTACATCCTTTGAAATTCTTTACAGTGCTGAAAAAAGGGCACAGAAAGCTCCATCCTTTCTCATTCGCTCATCCTATGGTATATCTGGAGGGCGATGGGGATCTAATAATTGATTTCACTTTCTCACCTCACTGGCTCATGGGGAATTTGTCAACTCAACTTGCTCCCACACGATAAGCTGTGAAGGCTTCTGAGCCGACAAGATTATTCCATAACAAAATGTCAGACTCAGATCGCCTGCTAGGTTTCAGAAAGCCACAAGAAAAATGAGCATACAAGAGTGAAACCCATAACACAAAGATATATTACTCTACTTCATAAATACAGCAAAAAGAAATGAGGGAAAGGTTGGGCAGAAAAAAGTATTAGAAATTCAGAAATATAGGATGACATCCAGAATGGCACTTCAAGTCATTGTTTTGCCTTTGGCCAACTCCTAACATGTTGTGAAATAAAGACAAAGCTTTTTTCCCTGGGTCTATCATCAGCATGACATCTGAACAATGAAATATACTCTGCATGGTATATAGTAAGAGGAAAATGAATGGACTAATAGGGCAGGCCACTATTTTCAATGGCAGCTCTGGTTATAATAATATTTAATAGTGAAATGCTCTTGCATTCTCTTTGACTATAGCATGTTCACATAGGAAGAATAAGCTGGGAAGGCACAGAGAAGATGTTCCTCCCGATCCTATATGTGAAATGGTACAGGTAGTCCTTGACTTACAACAGTTTATTTAGTGACCATTCAGAGTTACAACGATACTGAAAAAAGTGAATTATGGCCCTTTTTTCGCACATACAACCACTGTAGTATTTCCATGGTCACATGACCAAAATTCAAACATTTAGTAACGGACTCATATTTATAATGGTTGTGGTGTCCCAAGGTCATCTAATCCCCTTTTGCAATCTTCTGACAAGCAAACTCAATGGGGAAGCCAGCTTCATTTGCCAACCGTGTAAACTAACTTAATAACTGCAGGGATTCACTTAACAACTGAGCCAAGAAAGTCGTAAAAAGTCACTTAACAAAGTCTCATTTAGCAAGAGAAATTTTGGACTCAATTGTGATCTTAAGCCGAGGATTTCTTGTATAGACTTTCCTGCTTGAGCAGTGGGTTGGACTAGAAGACCTCCAAAGTCCCTTCCAACTTTGTTACTCTGTTGACAACAAAAAGCAATGTTATATGAAGTCGGTACATCAGCAGGTAATGTACAACTAGAAAGTAATAAAGTAAGAATGAAGAAAAAGAGAAGGAGAGAGAGGGAGACTGTAGAAAGAAAGGACACTGTAGGCTTCACCCCAATGGTACAACAAACAGCACATATTATTTTAAAGAAAGATGTTTTCATCTTTTTTGTCTTTATTCTTCAAGTCAAAAGTGCAAATTCCAGAATTACAAATAAGGAACATTAGTTGCAAATGTTTCTTGCTTGGTTATTTTGGAACTGTAGATATGAAACTCAAATAAGAATGGGTGAGTTTGTCAGTACCATTTTTTCCCCTCGGTTTCTCGTTCTTCTTAATTCCACATCAATTTACTTTCTTAAATAAGTATATTAGATAATCTGTATTTTTCCCGGCATCTGTAGCAATATACACATTGTATACACAAGTGGCTAATTATAGCTGTCCGCAGGCAACTTATAGCAATTGGGATTGGAATTTCTGTGGCCAATGTCACTTGCCTGGGCCACTTAGCAATAGAAAGTCCAGCTCTTCCAGTTGCCATTATTAAGGGAATCGCCATGGATCGCTAAGCAATAATGTCATGCATTTGTAATCTCCTTATGGCTTCTACACTAACTTTACTTATAAGAAAGTCACAAATGGCAATCACAGGACCACAGGATGCTGTAATGTCCAGAACTTTGAGGACCAGTTGTAAGTACCACCTCATTTAGTGCTGACATAAATTCAGCATCTGAATGAATGTTGTTAAGCAAGCATTTTTGTAAACTCTTTTCCTTAATATGCAATTTAGGACATTTTTCCCTGTATCTAGTTAACCATCCATCCATGCTTTTTTTTTTTTTTTTTGTCAAATATACACATTTCTGCTTGGATTTTTGGAAAGAGCCCTGTACAATTCTTTGGAGTTCAAAACCAAAGGAACTATTCCCAATGTACAGGCAGACATTTGTTTAATGTCCATTCGAAGTTACAATGGCACTAAAAAAGTTGACTTATAACCATTTTTTCACACAACCGTTGCAGCATCCCTCTGGTCATGTGGTCGAGATTTGAACTCTTAGCAACTGATTCATAAGAATGACTCTTACAGGGTCATGTGATCACCTTATGGCAAGCAAAGTGATTTAACAACTGTGTTCCTAACTGAATAACTACAGTGGATTCACTCAACAGTTGTGGCAAGAAAGTGGTAAAAAGGGGTAAACTCACTTAAGAAATGTCTCACTTAGCAACAGAAATTTTGGGCCTAGTTGTAGTTGTTAAGTCGAGAACTACTTGTAGTCCTTTAATTGAACTTAGAAAAGGATTTTCATTCACTTTCACAAGTTTATTTTTGTTAAACAATTCAGCAACATTATTAAAAGAAAAGAAAAATGGTCCAAGCTTTTCACTTGACCATTTTCAACATTTACTCTATTTCTGCATTTAATTGGCTTATGATAAAGAAATAGAATGAATCATCTCAGAGAGTAACAGAACTTGGCATCTTAGTAAATGAAGACAAAATATGAAAAGACTGGAGAGATTTCACTTACTTGTACGAAGAACTGAAGGTGTGACTTCAATTTCACTTGCTGCTTCATAAGATGCTGTAGTTGTGCCCAGTTCACTACCAAATATCTCAGGACTCTGTGTGCCTGTAGAACTGGCACTGGTGCCATCTCCTCCATGGTTTGGCTCTTGCTCATCAAATATAGCCACAAGCTATAAACAACAAATTAATTTGTAATTAGAAAGAGAGTGATACTACAACTCCATCATCATTATCAGCTACATCAAGCAATGAAGGATATTTTATTAATAGGACTGATAAATTGCATAAGAATATGCACTACAGAACCACATTACTCTTACTCAGTCATGTGAAACTTCTTCATTAGAATTCTTGATGGCTGTGCAAATTGAATAATCTGAAGTCACAGAACAACCTTTTCCCCTGCACACTTCCAAAGTCCTTTATAGCACATTTTAAAAATTAAAAAATAAAACCTGGTTACTCTTGTTTTATAAGACTCACCCTTCACTACATAAAGAATGCAGTTGTTTAGATTATTCTAGTATTTTTACAAACTGTTGACTATGTTGTTGAATGTACTATATTATTATTCTGTGTGTGAGAAAATAAAATTATTTAACTAGAAATCAGACACAAAAAGATTAAAAATGTCTTGCCAGATTTGATATGGGAGGTCTTTTCAATTCAAATACTTGATTATATTATAACTGATTACAATTAGCTTATACATTTAAGAAGCAAAAATGTTATAGACATTTTTAAAAATAGTTTCTGCCACCCACATTTTCTGAAGAGGAGATAATCACTTTGGCAAAGTTGAAATACAAGCAATACCAGATGGAATACTTACAGTACAATCCTAATTTGCCTATTTAATAATAAATCCCACTGGACTCACTGGGGCTAATTTGCAGGAAAATGCATATAGAACTGCACCTTAACTGTGTTAATTTTTAAATATGAAATGTGTTATGCATATGTGTTCAGCATATTCAGTTAAATTGAGCAGTGTACTGCTTCTCCTACACTCAGCAATAAAAGTGGGCATTTATATTCAATTCATTTGTGGCATACAAAGATCTGAATTTCATGCTAAAAATAAACATATGGTTCACTCTTCCCCAGAAAAAAAAAACCTTGGCTTTTCAGTTACCCTATCCGAAGATTTACAACTTCATTAATTCTACCTTTTCTTCTTCTCAGCCTCCACTCCTAACACTGACCAGGGGCTCATTATCAATTGCTGTTGATAGAATCATCATCTCCTACATATGTTCAGAAATGAATAAATAATAAACATTTTCAGGAATGGATCCATTTAGGATTAGAACTTACTGAAAAGTGATCAAAAGGTGACTTCTCATTAGAGATACAGAAAAGAGGCTGCAAATATTGTCACAATTTAATATTTTCCTTTATTGCAAGACTCCTAGAAGCTTTGCTGAAGGAGATTAAACTCAGTTTCTTTCTCATTACAGCAGGAACAAACTGCTGGAACTATGGAATCCCTCACTGGAGATCACTTGGAGTTTTTCAAGCAAAATTTGGACAACTCTTTATCTGTGATAAGAGGATTCCTGCGCTGAACAGAACATTAGAACAGAAGACCTTCCTCTTCTACTCTTTTGATTCTAGAAGCTTAGGAGGACGTGACTTGCAGGCTATGTAATATAAGGCATGTACAGATAATCCTCAATTAATAATCATTTGTTCAATAATGATTTGAAGTTACAATAGTGCTATACAATGGTCCTCAAAGTTAATATCACTGCTGGATTCTGAAAAGAAAGACAAAGGGGAAGCCAACAAGAGGTTGGAAATGGCAATCACTTGATTTCATGCTTAACAACTGTGCAGGATTGGAATTGTTGTCCTAAATTGACAGTCATGTGATGTTATCCTTTAAGACCACATCTTAAGAGAAGAATTTTCCAGGTCCAATTATCATCATTAATCAAGGACTACTTCTATAAATCACTAAATATTTAAGTGCCTTATCCCATATTCACCTGAATTATATGCATACCATTTAGTAACTACATTTTTCAAAATGCTAGCATAAGCAAAATATAATCTGAGCTATTGGTTGTATTCATGCCAAACAGTAAACTGACTGAAAATGTTAGCTTATTATACCAAGCAGCCCTTCTGGCACATGGTTCCCAAATTGCTTCATACAGAGCAGAAGTGATTATACTATCAAGAAATTATAATCACAAAATGTCTATTTGTCAATGTCACAACTCAATCTCACAACTATTCCAGGTAGAGAAACTAATCGGTGAAAGACTTTATAGACATTCTAGTTCAACTTTCTCAAAACAGGGATTCTCCCAGAATCTTAAAGAGTTAGAGATATTAGATTTCTCAGCAAACATGGTGCTATAAGCTTGCATATAAATTTGCACTGCGGTGTTTTATCCAAAAAGTGTAAAGCCAGATGGTAGTAGAGGTGGCAGTTGGCTTTGCACTGAAAGCTGTGAACCTAATCCACAACAAAAGTGCGACCAAATATCTATAACAGTATTTTAATGCAGCCTGAAAATATCAGCTCATTAACCAATTCCCATGAAAGATACTTCTTCCTTTGTATGAGATCAGACTTTATACAAAAAGCATAAAGAACAACACTAATAAAAGCATAGATTCCTAAAACTATAGCATAATTGGGGGTTATTTCATTCTATGTTGACACTGTTAACCACCCAGAGGCTCCGGAAATGGGTAGCACACAAGCAAAGCAAAGTAAAATAAGTGAATAAACAAACAAATAACGATAAATTCCTGTAGCCACAGTTTAATTGTACCATGATGTAAGCCCTTTGAATGTGTTCTAGCTACTACACAACATAAAGCAGGAAAATGTTGCAATGCTAGACAGCTGGCAATTCCTAAAATCTGTGACAAATTATAGATTTGGCTTTAACAGTTTATGACTGCTGTAATAATATAAGGAAGACACTACACATGCAGAATTACAGAAAGTGCCTAAGCAATATAGAAATATTCATGGTCTTACATTAACTGCTCATAGCTGAGATCTTGCTGGTAAAGCTAGGCATCTGACATTATGCTCACAGATATAACCCGTGAATATTTGATGTCCAAATATTCAATTCACATTTATGCAAACAAGAAAACTTTTATATTTCAGATAAGTGTTCTTGTTACAGAAGTTCATGATGGATATATAAATGTCAGAAGACAGGATGTGCTGATTAGCTTAATGCTTGAAAAAAAGAAATGTCACAGAATCACTTCTATTCAATTCCATATTTGACCATCACTTTCCACTTTAATATGTTAAATAGAAAGAACAGCAAACTATGTTTTCCTAGCGTAGGATGACATCCCATCTCCATTTCTAAAATTCAACCTCATTCTCCACCTCAAATTGATATACATTAGGGAAAATAATACTCTAGCTACCAAGTAGGTTGCAAAAGTAATAAAGATGGTACTCATGATTATCCTTGGTGAATAGAGGTTTCTTAACGTTAACTATCTAGATAAAATATTATGGCGAAAAATACAAAAGAAATGGAAGACACACAGAATCCTGTGGCTTAACTAGTCAATCTGGTCTAATGAAATTACCTAGTGGACAAGAAAATGATACAGAAAACATTCAATAAACTTTTTCTCAAAGAAACAGATTGCCTAAACTACAATTCTATACTATTTCTGTGGTGATATAAGGTCAAAAATATCATTATAGATATAGCATTTTTTGTTGCAGATTTAACAAACTAACAGACATCGAAGGGACCTTGGAGGACTTCCAGTCCAACCCTTGTGCAAGCAGGAAACCCTAAACCATTTTAGACAAATGGCTGCCAAATCTCATCTTAAAAAACTGCAGTGAGGTTTTTACCCAAAACTTCTGGAGGCAAGCTATTCTGCTAATTAATTGTTCTGTCTGGAAATTTCTCCTTAATTCTAGGTTGGTTCTCTCCTTCATTAGTTTACATCCATTACTTCTTGACCTGTCTTCAGGTACTTTGGAGAATAGGCTGATCCCTTAGATATTGGGCACCGCTATCATGTCACTCCTAGTTATTCTTTACATTAAACTGAACATACCCAATTCTTGCAACTGTTCTTTGTATGTTTTAGTCTCCAGTCCCCCTATCATCTTTGTTGCTCTTCTCTGCTTCACAGCTTTCTATATAAAGCCAACCGTCACCCCTACTATCATTTCATTTTGCAATTTTCTTATCAAAATACTCCGGTGCAAATTTATATGCAAGCTTCTAGCACTGTGCAGGCTGAGAAATCTTGTATTTGTAAGCCTTAGATTTTGTAAATATATTTCTTTGGAGAAGACTGAAATAGAATGTATAGTAATTCACTCTATTCATATAGGTAAGTTTGCCTGCCTAGAGTAGTTGGGAGATTAGCAAAAGGGTCAGTGCAATAGTTATGCATTGGATAAGTTAATAAAGGGAGAAGTTCACATTCACATGAACATTATATTTCAAAAGCAGATAATGTTCTGTTTGGATTCTGACAGTGTAGGCGATATCTGATCTATATCACTTGTCTGATGAGGTTAATTGAACGGATGAAATTTCTTCCCCTAATGTTAGTCTTAGTATATCAATTCCTTTCTGGCAGCCAAAAACTTTTCATATCTCACTGGTAGGTCTCAAGATCACCATATGATAACCTCAAATATAGGGATGGAAAGCTAAAGGGATTCTTAAGACTAATTAACTTCACAGCAACAAAAATTTGGCACAGGCTTACCAGAAAAAAAAAAAGTATCATGAGGTCCAGGCCAATAATATAGACAAGCCAACTTTATAATCACATTGCTCTCCAAGGAACACTTACTATGAGTTAATATCTAGAAATAAGTCATCAGTAAAGCAATGATTTTGTTATTATGTTTAAGTACTGGTCTGCAACCCTGAGCCTCCGAAGAGGGAAAACAGGATTCAAGAGCACCAATCTAATAAGAGAAGCATTTCCGACTAAAACCAGTGTCACTTAAATGTGTACTAAAATTTAGGATCTGATTTAGATGAAACAAAGACACAAAAGAGAATGTGTGTAGAATTTATTTTGCATTTGTTTCTGGACAACACAAAGGGGTTAGCTAGAATCTAGAAGAAAAATGATGAGGGCAGCACAATGAACAATTCTGTTTTTGATAAAATAGAACCACATTTGTTCAGTC